CGAGTGCCTCATCAAAACTTTTGGCTAATCGGTGGCAACGTCCGATATCCGACCACCACTCTCATCATACCAAGGCTCTCGCTTTCGTTACAATAACTTTTTGAACTACTGCTTCTGAGCACATTTATTGCGAATCTAGGCCAAGTGCATCGTTAATATCTTGAACTGTTCCCGCTACTTTCAGGTCTATTTAAAGCTAGAAAAAGAAAGTCATGCCAACTTGCTCATCGAGTATACCGCATTCAAAGCTTTGAAAAAGTTATAAGAAAATGTTTTAGGCAAAGTGAGCTAAGCATTGGATAGAGCTGGAAAAGCTCTTCAAAATGATATCCATACCAATTGCAGTTTTCTAGATTTCAAGGGAAATGAAGCATCCAAATGTGGAGTGTCAGAAAACGACAGAACTTTCTGAAACACCTAATAATAAGAGTGCTCATCTCATGTAGCGGTTTCTGAGGCCGTTTGATAGTTTTTCGTGGCGCAGACTCCGTCCCATAACCCTTATCCGTTCTCTCTTACTGAGAGCTAAAGATCAAACTACTGGCGGCAGCTTGAGCGGCTTCAGCCTTCAGAGATTCATGTTTCAAAAGCAGCGAACCGCTTGAACTGCAATGCGACCTCGATCCTTTTAGAGGACGTGGTCCACTACACTTAATATGTTCACTATTGGATCACATTTCAGTGGAAAATGGCATCAGAAGACGATGGGATTCCATGCCCTATTGCAATGGAAGATCCTTCCGAAGATGTGATTGAAAAAATTTTGAAGCGGGAGATGAAGAAGGCTGCGCGACGAAGAAGAAGGAGGAATGGGAGGTGAGGGTGTGTAACACCGCAAGTAAAGGAAGTATTAAAAATATGTGCAGATTATATAGTTTACCCTTTGCCTTTTTTGGGGAAAGATTCGCTGGCTTCGAAATCGAACAATAAGGCACACAACTCTTTTCCATATCGTTATGTTAATGTTAACCTGCCTCACACTATGATTTCGGAGATGTGAAGAATCAGCGTCTGAAGTCTCTTAGGCCGCGTTCATAGTTCGCGACTCCGGAGATTAGGATAGTACGCGACAATGAAAAACATATGTATTGACGGGGAGATTAGGATAGTAGTAGGGATAGTAGTAGAGTAGGAGAGTGCGCTGACAAGATTAGATATGTATTGATCTATTCGCTTGAAGTCGCCTAATCTACTACTCTCCAGCGATTTCAATCGATACGTATCATTCATAGTTCACGACTCGGAGGTCAGGATAGAGTATAGTAGGACGAAATAACTTCGTATAGCTAGTGAGAGTAGGAGTTGCGCTGACAAGATTGAATACGTATTGGTTGAAATCGCTGGGGATTGTAGATTGGGCGACTTCAGCGATAGATCCTCTACTACTATCCTACTATCGTAATATCGCAATCTACTACTCTCCAGCGATTTCAATCGATACGTATCTAATCTTGTCAGCGCAATCTCCTACTCTACTACTATCCTAATCTACTACTATCCCTAATCGCCGTCAATACATATGTTTTTCATTGTCGCGTACTATCCTAATCTCCGGAGTCGCGAACTATGAACGCGGCCTTTGTGTCCAATCTTGTCCGCGCAATCTTCTACTCTACTACTATCCTAAGATCCTATCGCCGCCTACTCTCCTGATCTCCCGAGTCGCGAACTATGAACGCGGCCTTGTCTAACTCCTCGGTAAAGTTTACCTATTTCCTGAGAATGCGTCTTCTATTGCGTCATTATTTCCCTAATCTCCACCCTTAATCATTAGTAAGCAACAATACCAACGTGGACGAGGGAATCTCTCAACGCTCACTTAAATCTGTTAGTAGATGACTCGCGTCTTAGTTGGTTTATTAGCTAGCGTGGTGAATATGATAGATCGTAAAAGGGATATTTTATCAATGAGGCGAAAGAACTCACCTGAAACATCCCTGGTATCCCACCATTGATTTTTCTCGCTTCGTTTTCATGATCTATCCTACCCATCAGACCCGCTTATTTTGCCACAACAGAGAGTGGGCACAGGTGATCTGTGCAAATGTACCTCTTGACTAGTGACGGACGCATTAACATCTCCTCTCAGCTGCTTTGTGGCCACTGCACGGCTTCTTAGGCTCTACTTTCAAAAGATGTTACTGTTTGTGTTTAGAATCTAGTAGAACTAATATGGGAAAAACAGAGACCAAATGGAATATCGGAAACACCGACAGATGACGAACACAACACACTCATTTATGCACAAGCTATAGAAGCTGTATACATATGACTTCATCTCGACACTGCTGACCGCTCTCTGTACTGGAGCCGTCTGCCTTTTATCTTTACAATACTCGTGAAACTTGGGTTTGTACCACCCGGATTTAGGATCTCGTGTAGCTAACGGGCATTGGTAAACATATCCTATTATGTGGACGTTTAGAAAAAGCACGTCTTTACGTAGATTTCTTTTTACAATAGCAACTGCGTCCACACACCCAGAGATTTCTCTCTTTCTCTCTAAATGGAGTTTCTATCGCCGACACAACCAATTGCACCAAGTTACCCCTCCGCCAGCTGCGCGAGCGCCTAGGACTAAATTATTTTGCTCACAATCAGACAGGACATTGAAATGCTACTTTTCCTGATACTTTCCATGTTCTTACCTCTGGTGTAACCCTTTGAGGGATCCTCACAATGTTTCCTAGGCATAGAGGGTGAACATTTTATTTGTACTCTTCAAATTACCCCTAGTTTACATTCGTAGTGTCGTTCCTGGACGAAGAGTCGATTGATTGTCAAAAAAATTCTTGTTGTCACGAAGTTATACGAGTAATGCCGTTACTGACAAATCGCTTCGTCCAAATCTTTCCACACTGCCGCCAGTTCGCGGCAACTAAGCATGTCACATCGCTCGTGTATCTTGAACTTTCAAGGAGACTTTCTTGTACGATTCTTCCTGTTTGCTGTCTGTTTTTGCCAAGCCTCGCAGTATTAAGTGACCTGGCTATCTAGTTCAGGGCCAATTAATCCCAAAAAACACTGCAAACACGCAAACGAATTACAATGCGCCGTCTCCCCACAATAAAGGTAACGTCGCAAAACTTATGGGAAGCACTCAAAGAGGCGAACTATTGTATGTGAACAAACAAGCGTTATGCTGCGATTAATTCACTACACCCACACCCACTCCACTCCCTGCCACGCACGGCCAAGGACAGCGCGCGCAATCGCTCGTGTCAATTACTTCGTGTCCAAAAAAATGGGCATACCGTACGACAGGAGATCCATTCGCTCGGCGACACTGTAAATGGACCATGCGCAAGGAGCGATAGCAATGCCGAGTCTGACCACATCTAACCCGCACGCGTATCCGTTTTAGACCCCTACGTCGATCCATCGCTATGCGTATTCATGGGTCATGCGCGCACGGAAGGGACTCCTAGTAAATTCACATTATCCATAGACTACTTTGCTCAGGCCGCAGTGCGCAACTGTTTGTGGGAGGCCATGTTTTTCCCCACCCATCGTTTCTGAAGATCGTAACATAATGCTTAATCGAAGGAGCTAGTGCAAGCCCAAGAAATAAGAGAAGAATACTCAATAGAAAAACCTTTCTGATGTGTTTCGACAACCTCTTCGCGAATGCCAACCATTTGCCATAGTGGGCGTGTACACACAATCGAAAGGCCTTCTATGTCTCGTGAACGTGCGTTCTAGGAACACAGATTTGATCGCAGTTTACTACAAAAACATTATTCAATTGATAACTAGCGATTCAAAGAGAAAATACCCAGCTTCGAAACACCAGAGATTTCCGATTCAGTGAGTATGAACAACAAACGACTTATAGTGCGCAATGTTCCATGTCAATGAAGCCGATAGCGACAAAAAAAGGCGTCGCTCTCCATTACTTCCCTCCGGATTCGTGCCAAGGAGAATCTAACTACGCAATCTCAACACACCGGAGGTTGCTTGTATCTTTGCCTCCCTTTTTTTTTTACAGTTACCTTATTTATTTCTCTTATTCTGTAGACACTTTTCATTGCTGAATAGCACCGCTTCAGCACACATCAATGCTGGTTCATTTCGAAAGTACGACACGGCGCCGTTTGTTTCAATTCGTCGGTTACACTATACCCCCCCACCAACAGACTAAACCTGAAGAAACAAACTGCCATAATCCGTTATAGATAGTCGTCTTTCTTTTTGTCGCAACTGATGAGTCAGCTGGGCGGAACAGACTGGGCAGTTTCGCAAGTTTGCGAGCGGCCGTGCAGTTCGCTTTCGAATATCGAGAAGTCCTTATCAGGCTAATATAAAAGCACTTTAGAGCCAGTGTATGGACTTTCCGGCGCCCTCTCGAGTTCGCACAGTTCTGGTTTTTTTTTACCAAACATTATTCATTAATGTATTTTGTTACACCCATGCAAAGCACCTCATTGATGAATTCCAGACGGCAGTGTTGTGGGCGGGGTCTGTGAAATGGGTGGGGTTTGCGAGGCGAAGTTCTTTAATTATTTCCTACCAAACATCTTTTGTTACAAAATTTGGATGTACCAAATCTTCAGGGTTATGTTAGTTCAGCCGTAGTTAGAACTCAGCGTTCTTTAATAGTAGCTAGTGTGATTAATGGCAGCTCACTGCTGCTCCAAGCTTGGCAACGCATTTGTAATGTTGAATCGTTTCACCTCATCGTGAGCTGGGCTCCATTCTTAATCCAATAGTTTTTCTGTGATCTTTGTGAGCTGATTCCAACTGAATACACAATGCGAGTTGACAAACGCGTCCGATTACGACCTCGCGCTGACTCAGCTCGCTCCGATCTTTGTCCTTCTCTCCGTCGCTATGGGGAAATGACCCTCCCCTCTGCCAATCTTTCGCGAAATACTCGCATGTCGCTGCCATTGTGATGGCCTATCGCACCCCCTTTCGCATACCAGTTCTCTCTGATCAAACAAATTCGGCCGATTTTGACGACGCATGATTTCCTCGAACAATGTAGCCTCGTAAAAACCCCGACATCTGCAGGACATGGCTACGCTCTCATTCTCGTGAGCCTACCGAACTGAATCCCAAAAGGCGTTTTCGATGTCTTTTTCACAACGTCTAGATTTACTTAGTCTACATTATTTCATTTTCACTTTTCACATTTTTGCTATTAGACTTTCCTATACCCAGTGTTCGTGTTGGTGTTGCGGTTTTCCCCTGGAAGAGGACATTAAACATGTTTTCATCTGGCAATTGGTCGCTTTTGCACACTACCGTAAACAATATGAACATATAAATCAGAAAACCTGTTTTCGATAGACCATCGATTTTTTATAGTGTTTATACGTTCCCTAGTTCAAAATATTGGTGCTAACTTAGTTGGGGGGGGCACGCGGCGGCGCGGCAGTCTGCTCGCCTGGCATGTTCGGAAATCCGTGGGCCAGGGGGAGTGTAGGCAGTCTAGGGGGTGGGGGCAGTCACTTGACATGCGTGAAAAGCTGGAATGTTCGAGTTTACACTGTCTCGCTCGAGAGAGCGGAGCAACTGCCGCGCCGCCGCGTGCCCCCCCCCCCAACTAAGTTTAAGCAATCCGAAAATATCTTCGGAAATTCGGTATAAGGTTTCCCGACACAATGCCACAGGACTGAGGCTTAGCCTGAAAATTTCTCATTGTCTCGTGAGCTTATGCGGTTCAAATCTTATTATTTGTATGCATTTGAGATTTTCTTAACGTTTCTTCACGCGGATCTGTGTTCAGTTTTCCCCACTTCAACAATTTCTTCAGAAATGTCTAGTCTTCCTGCGAAAAGGAGTGCCGTGATCAGACACTGGAGAGGGTGGTGGTGTTCAACGACAGAGCGGAACTGAAACGTCGAGTGCTCTGTGAACTACAACCGGGATTCAACGAAATTCATCTTGAAGTGAGTTCCGCACCAATGGCAATCGAATGTGGTAGTCTGCTACGGAACTTTCACTGAGAATCTTTCTAATACATCATCCCAAATAGTGGAGTTGAACTAAATTGTCCGGTGGATGATGCATAGCAAATGCACCAACAGACGCCCAAAAAACAGCGTATGACTCATCCGGGGCTTTGTGAACTGGTGTGGTCCACTAGGACAGCCCGAACTAAGTGGAAAGGTGAACATAACGAAATATTCATCCAGCGTAATAAATCAAAGGTGGAAGGGCACCAATGATGTCGAAAATGAAGACACTGTTTCGGTGTGAGAGCGCGAAGAAGCAGAGAAATGTGGAATCGCGCACAACTTGAACTCGATTCGTTGAAATGTGCTCGTCACTCTCTGACATAGCGTCCCATGACCACTGCGAGTCTACAAATTCCTGCTTTTCATGTATGATAAGTAGACACCCACCTCATAGCGAGCGCCCTGTCTTTCGAAGCTCCAGTGCTTCCCGCTTCATCGTTTGTTCTTTCGAAATTTATACTGATTCAATTTCTGCTCTCTGGCCGTTTGCGCTTTGCTTTGCGGTATGTTAACGGTAAAACTCCAACAGGCCGTGCGGAGGCTTCCCGTGAATTTCAAACTAGCTCAAACCTTCCTGACTCGGTGCCACACTCACTACCCTGCCTCTATAAAAGACTTCGTAACGTTAAGACTGCGGTTCTTTACCTGTTGTTCTTTTATTTTATCGCGGCAGGATACCTATTTAATCATATTCTCCCTCCAGAATGTCACTCGCAACATCATTCATGACTCAGTTCGTGTAGATGGACGTGGTCACGGTACAATTCACGATGTTCAACTCAGTGAAAAAGCTGCCATTCATGAGGAGACCGATTCACCGAGGGTATGATTACTCTTGATCCTCTGTTCTGTACCATTTGCAATGCACTATCGCCAGCATTTTAGGTTGCTGCAATACGCGCTAAGTACGAGGATAAGTTGCAAGAAGTAAATGAGTTGAAGGATCGTGCCAGTATTGTGCAGAAAAGAGTCGAAGTGCTGGACAAACTGGTGGAAGGAGTGAGTATCCTTTTTGATGTTATATGTTCTCTTTTTCAATAGATATCGTTATGTACCATACGATATGTATTGGGTTGGTGCATAATATCGTAGCGCTCGCATTCGGCAAAAACGTTCAAAGCAAAACCCAAAAGCAAAGCCAAGCATAAAACTAATCAGTGATGTTCTTCTCGTCATTATTTACGACTTTGATCCCATTTCGCAAAGAAATTACCGGGTTTAGAATTTAAAAAAGGGTACTGAGCCCGTTTT